GAGTAGTTCAGAGAATGGGAAAATACCACCTCTGATTGGAGATTTTACAGTATCCTTCCCCTGCCACGTCCTTCCCAAGCCACGCCCACAGAACCGGTAGTAAAAAATTTTGAATCCCACCACTGCATCCATCCGAAATTCATTCATTCACTTTACATATTTGATTTGATGGACAGTGAAAGTGAATGATGCCAAAGTACTTATGAGATGAAATCAACATAAGGCTAACATATATATAATAACCACCGGTATAAAAAGATATTTTGAGGACATTTGTAAATGTGTACAGGGAGCATCTCACTATGATTTCTGAAATTATTATATCATATTCTGCTGTCATTTTTTGCCATGATATTCCCAAGCTGGCAGGAATTTATTTCCTATTTACTGCCAAAATTCCTCAGTATGAATAGCTATGGGACAGTCAATTGCTTAATTATTTACAGGCACATAGCAGGATTCAAATTACAAACCTCATAATGAATTACATAAATGGCTAACAAGTTCTAAATTGTAGAGAAATATATGGCTCTAGAGAGAAAATGAATCTTTACAGCTAAATTGACTAGTTATGTTGTCACCTATATTAATAAGACACTTGGTTAAAAAGCCATTGTTGATCCATTGTATGATACTGTACCATAGAACAAGTATCTATGGAAATTTTTAGTCACCCAGATCATGGTTTTGCCAAGGTGCTTTTTCAAGAGGCAACTGGACTTTCTGTTTTTCTTTGAAGATGTTTCACTTCTCATCCAAGAAATTTCTTCAGCTCTGAAGAAGAACTAAAGTCTTCAAAGAAAAACCAGAAAGTCCAGTTGCCTCTTGAAAAAGTATCTTTGGAACATAGTACAGGTAGTACTCAATTTATACATATTCATTTAGTGACAGTTCTAAGTTACAATGGCATTGAAAAGGGTGATTTATGACCATTTTTCACACTCTTCATCTCCTGCCATCCTCTTCTTCTTTTGCCTTAAATCTTTCCCAACAGCAGGGTCTTTTCCAATAAATCCTCTTTTCTCGTTTGGTGATAAAAAGTAATTGAGCTTAATCTGTCCTTCTGAAGAACAGTCAATGTTGATTTCTTTTAGGATTGTTTGATGTGATCTCCTTGCAATCCAAGGAACTCTCAAAAATATTTTCCAACACCATAATTTGAAAGCATTAATCTGTTGGCCCTCAAGCCTTCTTTATAGTCCAACTCTCACAACATTACTATTGCGGTTACAGATGGGGAGCTAATATTAAAACATAATTAGGTGTCCAAAATAGGTTGATCAAAGATAAATTCACAAAGTTTCAAACTCAATATATAAGCCCACACTATCTATCAATGCATTACCAGATGATAAGAATGAGTATATGATCATATTAATACTATAAACAGTTTTATATTATAGTAACCATGTTTAGATTTGCCAACTGGCATCACATTTCAATGACATCATAAGCAACCACTTTAAACATTTGACATTTTAAAGCAGTAGTTCCCAAACTTTTTCAGTCCCCCACCACCTTGGTGCTACAAACTTATCCTCGGTGTCCCCCATCCAGGGGTGGGATTCAAATTTATGTGGGTGTGGCCTAATTTGAGGAAGTGGCTTGCTGGTCATATGACTGGGTGGGTGTGGCTTGCTGGTCATGTGACTGGGTGGGTGTAGTTTGCTGGTCATGTGACTGGCTGGAGTGGCTTGCTGGCTGGATGTGACTTGCTGGTCACATGACCGACTAGGTGTGTCATGTGACTAGATGGGCATGGCCAGGTGACTAGCAAACCAAATACAAGTGGTCCTCACTTAATGGCCGGTTGTTTAGCAAGTGTTCTAATTTATGACTGGCCTCCCCAGAGCTACTTGACCTGTTTTTGGAGTTTTGATAACCATGCACACACATATACACACACTCCCTTCTAACCCTGCTGGAGCAGGTCATTGGACTAGAATTGGCAAAGCATCTCTGATTAGATTCTAGTAGTGAATAAAATCTAATCAGAGATGCTTTGCTGATTCTTGTTTATTTGTTTTATTTTTATTTCTTTATTTTATGTTGCTGAATTGCATTGACTTGTATGTCCCTTCTTGTGTACGACCAGGAAGCTTTTGTGATTATTTGCAGCAAAAATTGCTGACCTCTGGCTTTGCTCGACTTTTCAAATGTGCTGGCACTGCCGCGTTCTAGGTGCCGGCCCCGTAGCTCCACCCCATTGAGCCTGCTACACCAGAGGGACCTGTCCAAGCAAGTCCGAGCGGAGCAGTGCAGCAAGTCAATGGGGCGAGCCTGAGAGAGGGAAACAGAGAGAGAGAAAAGAAAGAGAGAGAGAAAGAGAGAGAGAAGGAAGAAAAGAAAAAGAAAAGGGAAAGAAAGAAAAAGGGTCAGACAAAGAAAGGGGGGATGGAAGGAAGGGACAGAAAGAAAAAGAAATAAAGAAGGAGAGAGGGAAGGAGGGAGGAGAAAGATAATGATATATCTATTCTAGTCCAATCACCTGCTCCAGCAGGCTTAGAAGGGAGTGTGTGTGTGAGTGTGAGTGTGTGTGTGTGTGTGTGTTCTTCTTGTAATTTACCAGTACATTTTGGTTTTGCCTTCTTGGCACTGTAATACATTGGGGAAAAGTAATTTTTAGGGTGGAGGTCTGGTCCAATGGATCCTGTTTAAAGCCTCAACAAAATGTGAGAGCTTCCTGATAGTCTTGAATGTTTCGTCCACAAAACCTTTAATAGAAGCCAAAGATGTTTCGATGTGGAAAAGGGCTAAATTAGCCCTTTTCCACATCGAATCAGTCTAAATTAGGCCTCATTTCAATCTAATGCATCAGGTCTCTCTCTCTCTCCCTTTCCCCCCTCCCTCCCTCCCTCCCAGACTGGCTTTGCTCAATGTGGCTGCAGGGCCAGTGCCTCGAACATGGAAGGATGGATGGATGGATAGAGAGACAGAGAGAGAGACAGGTTTGTAGGTAGATAGGTAAGTAGATAGATATATTGGTAGATAGATAGATAGATAGATTGGTAGGTAGGTAGATAAGTAGGTAGGTAGGTAGATCTATATTGGTAGATAGGTAGGTAGGTAGACAGACATAAAGACAGGCAGGCAGATAGGTAGGTAGGCAGGCAGGCAGACCTTTTGGTTGATTGGATGGATGGATGGATGGATGGACGGACGGACGGACGGACGGACAGACAGACAGACAGAATGTGACACTGGTGGCACTTTGGGAAAGTAAAGTAAACTTGCTGCCACCGCATTTGAGGTGCCGGCTTTGGAGCCATGCAACAGTCAATGGGGTGAGCCTGCAGTGCCCCTGCTGCCTTTTAGTGCCCCTCTGTTGGTCCCCTTGGGGGCACTAAGGGATGGCAGGGAGGTGTTCGAGGTGCTGGCACTGCAGGCTCACCCCATTGATGGTTGCACTGGAGCAGTGCAAGAGCTCAGTGGGGTGAGCCTGCAGAGCTGGCACATCAAACGCAGCACTGGCATGTTGCAAAAGTATACCAAAGCTGTCTGCCCTGGGCTTCCTCAACCCTGCCTTCCTCCAGGAAGGAGGGAACAGCACCACCCTATATGACATGAGGGCCCAGGGAGGGCAGCTTGGAAGGCTGATCGCTGGCAGGAGGGGCAGCCTCTGGACTTGCTGTCAGGCACGGCAACTACAAAGAGGGGCAGGCTTGGCTGAGCGGGATCCTGGATATCGGGCATGTGGTCAAAGCCCCCCCTTTCCTCTCCCTCTGCCTAGGTGATCCAGGGATGCCATTGACTGTTACACCGGAGCGGTGCATCGGAGCTGCCGCATTCAAGGTGCCAGCTCCGGAGTGGTGCAACAGTCAATGTGGTGACCCTGCAGGGTCGGCATCTCAAATGCCCCCCTGCTGCCTCTTAGCACCCCCCTGCTGCCCCCTTGCCTCTTAGCACCCCCCTAAGGCATCCCACTGCCTCCCAGGGGGTGGTACCACCCCCTTTGGGAATCACTGTTTTAAAGAAACCACCACACTTTTGGAGGGTCATGCAGAAATATGAAAAAAGGCTTTAGAGAGAGTAGCAGAATGAGGTTGATCTTGCATGTGGTCCAAATGCTTTCTTCAAGTCATTTTTGAACTACCTACAGCTCTAAGATACTCTAAAGGAATTTGCATATTTATTGGGAATATCAGAATTGTGTCATCTACCATCTCACCATTTTTAATATCCCTGCCTCCTATTCAGCAGATATCCATGACAGTGAAAGAAATGCATAGATTCAATTTAATGAAATAAAACTATATAATTTAAGCATAACAAAAATATGTGCATATATAGTAAATAATCAAAAAAGAAATGTATTGTTTAATATATTTATAAAATTGTTTTATACATGTAGACAAGCTGCCTTATCTAAAATTATCTTGCCTTCAATAGAAAGCAATGAAAGCTATTAGAGCAATGCTTCTCTGTTCTATGCGTGGGTAGTAAAATATTTGTGGAAAAATTATTGTTTTTATACTTTAACATGAAAATAATGATTTTTGTTGTCCTTTGTCTGTAATGCATTTAGGAAAATCTACCAGCTTCAAAGAAGTAGAATATTTTTTCTAAGGCAGCAATGCAATTTAGAATTTGAAAAGTATAAATGCTTCTTACATAAAGATAAAACTGTTAAATAATGCCTATGATTCATATACTATATATTCATCACATATGGAAGGACTTCCGTATTGCTTTGCCAAATGCATTTGAAATAGAGGAAAATCAGTTAATGGATTATGGTACAATGTGGACTACAAACAGTTTTTTTATAATTAACACAAAACAATATTAACAGTAATATTCTGTGCAGGCATTTGAATTTCTGCTGTCACCCACTCATTCTGGCATAATTTTATCCATGAAATATTTGTGTCACTTGAGTTAGTAATATCATCCCATATTCCCACTACAGACTTAACTTCAGTTTGTCATCCGGTAGCATTCACAGTTCATCTGTTTGTCAATTTTTACACATTTCTTTTGCAAAGAAGGAATATGCTTACCTCTGAAAAGAAAGAATGCTTGGAAGTCTATCTACACATTATGCAGAGTCAGATGGTAGATTGTGATGATAAAATTCTGGATTCTATCTGACAAAAAACAGATGAGCATAAGAAGAACTGTGTTGGATGAAATCAAAAGGCTCATTTGCCCAGAAGTCTGTTTCTATAGCAGCCAAACCAGAAGTTGAAAGGAAAGCAAGAAGTCAAAGGCAAGAACATTTCCTTACTGATGGACTCCAATAATGGTCTGTAATAAAGGAAGTATTTTAATAATCATTTTATTAAATATTATAATTAATGATAAAATAATATAAACCACAAAAAGAAAATAATAAAAAGAAAAAATAGAAAGTACAATATATATATAAAGAAAATAGAAAAAAATAAATATATAGCAAAAAATAAAAAAAATATATACAGTTATAAATTTCCCCTTATTTGCAACATGTATAAACAATTTTAACAATTTATCATAACAATTTTTTCATCCACATAACTTCTCTTCTCTATAAACAGATCCTTTTTTTAATATAAATTTTATTTGGGTTTTCACAAAAACATAATACAAATAAAACATCTTTTTTTTTTAGAATAATAGCATGATCCCGGGTTATCACTTCTTCATATAGACACAAACTCAATTTCATATTCATCTTTGTGTTCTATTCCATATCTTATTACTATTTTAACATTTTCTCCATAATTTTTCCACTCCCTTGGTTTTCTCAACTTTATTTTTAATTATCTCATATCTAAATTCAATTATATATCTTTTTCTAAGTTTCAATGTCTTTCCAATCATTATATTTATACTTTTGTCTGTCCTGTTTCAATTTCATATTATCTTTTCTCATTAAACAAATTTTCCCCTGTAGTTACTAATTGGAGTATGACACCTTTATATCTTTTAATTTTATCCATTCAACTCTTATTTAAACTTCAATTT